GGGAAGCAGATGGCTGCCCGTCTTTCCTCGAAAAGAGAGACAAACAAGAGCGGAGCTTTTTTATTGGAAAAACGCTCGCCGTGCACGCCGATTGCCCCCTCGGAGACATCGCTTGCGTGCTCTTCGCCCAAACAAATAACGCATAGATCGTATGTGTCATCAGATGTTAAACAACGACAACACGGATGCACACATCCTCTTAAACGGTTTGCTAGTGCTCACCATAATGATATGTAAATGAACACTAGAGGCAGTAAAACTCAGACACCTTTTATTCCTTTTCACACAAATGTACAGAGTTTCAATTAATAATGCGTAATTTTCGCACAATTACTTGAAGAATATCATGTTATGACTTCAAAACAATATTAATATGCTGGGAAATTTGAAAACTGATGCTTTTGAACATTAGCATCGCACATATCCAGCTTCATATCTATGGATTTTCATAGGCGGTAGGTTTGTTCGGTAGCTCACGACGAAGTACGGAGACGTACTTGAGAGGTGAGGAGCTCTGGTTCGAATCCCGTGTAACCACGGTTTGACAAAGCAGTTCAAATCTGCATATAAGGAAGTTCAAAGGGCACGGTTGCATCAACAAATGTGTTTTTATATCAGTTTTGCAATTGTTAACACTATCGGGTAGGTTTAGGGTTGGATTTGGTGTAGGGCATATTTACAACACGATAGAGCATTCACTTTTAGCGTCAGTCCCCGGATATTTGAATTCTGAACCGCCGCAATACGTACCTGTCTACCTGAAGCAACATAATAAAAACACAGCAATACGTACCTATTTCAACGTAATAAAAACGTGCCAGGGTTCACGAATTGAACCAGTGTTTTAGCGCCACTCAGTGGACATTTCTCTTGAAACTGCGGCGAAACGTGCAGTAAGGTACGAAAAAACGGTGCTGCACAAAAAGTGCACAGAGGTACGTATTTTTATGAGATCAGGTTGCCTATATCAAAGCTCGCTATTTTCTCTAAACTTTTGGAAAACCTAGTTAGTAAAAAGTTGACAGTATAACTGTCATAATATTTTGTCTATTAATCAAACCGGGTTCCATAAAGGGCACAGTACTACTACAGCCATTTTAAAAGTTTTAAATGACATTGTGGAGTCCTTAGTAAACAGCATTGTGCTTGTCTTTTTATTGACTTATCAAAGGCCTTTGATACTGTGGACCATGACATATTATTAAATAGATGGGTAGGACTATTTTAAACCATATGCTATTTTATGGTTCATTCCTTATTTAAAGGGTAGAACCCAATGTGTACAGATGGAAAGTGTTCAGTCAGATCCTTTGGAGATTTTTAAGGGAGTCCCGCAAAGATCTGTGTTGGGGCCGTTATTATTTAGTATATATACAGTATATAAACTGCCCTGATTTTAATATTGATAATGCGAGTTTCCATTTTAATGCAGATAATACTATCGTTTATTGCTCAGCCCCCTCTAAGCAACAATCTGTGGCTTCTTTACAGTCTGCTTTTGATATTATCCTAAATATGTTCTGTGTTTTGAAGCTGGTTTTAAATGTTGAAAAAACAAAATATATGTGATTTTCAAATTCTAAAACTTCTTCCGAATACTCTATTGTTCTTCTGACTTCTCAGGTGAGCCAAATTACTTTAGTGTCAGAGTACAAATACTTGGGTATTATTATCGATAACACACTACATTTTGGTTCACACATTAAGTATTTGAGGAAAAAAATTAAAGAAAAAGTTAGGGTTTACTTTAGAAATAAGTTGTGTTTTTCATTCAATGTGAGGAAGAAATTAGTATCTGCTACTTTTCTACTGTTTCTCGATTATGGGGATGTAGTCTATCAGCATGCCCTCTCTTACCTTCACTCCTCCTTGGATGCTTTGTACCATGGTGCTCTGAGATTTATAACTGATTGTAAATTTTCAACTCACCATTGTGAACTATACAAAAGAGTTGCATGGCCTTCCTTGAGTATTCGGAGAAAAATGCATTGGCATCTGTTGATATATAAAGCCATATTGGGTTATTTAATTATATTTTATAATTCTGGTAATTACTCAATACTTTCTCAATCAAATTATAATCTTTGTGTGTCCCTGTCAGAACTGAGCTTGGTAAAACTTCTTTAAAATATGCCACCACTTCAGATTGCAATGTTCTCCAAAAGGAGATGAAGTTACAAAACTTGGTGTCTTATAATTATTTTAAGTTTTTACTACGTAATCGTAGAGAGCGAGTTAATAGTGTGTAATTGTTTTTAATTGGTTATATGTTGGTATGTTTGTTTTTGTATTGTATGTCATAACTATGTTGTTTATTTGTATATGCAAACTTGGCTGCCTATCTTGGCCAGGACACTCCTGTAAAATAGATTTTAATCTCAGCGAGTCTTTTTTCCTGGTTAAATAAAGGTAATTAATTAATTAATATGCATTTGGTGCTCAAGACACATTTTTTATTATTATCAAGGTTAAGCACAGATATGATGCTTAATATTTGTGTGGAGTTCAAAAGAACAGCATTTATGTGAAATAGGAATCTTTTACAATATTATAAATGTCTTTATTATAATTTTAAATGTGCCCTTGCTGAATAAAAGTTAAAAAAAAGTCTTACTGACCCCAAACTTTTGAATGGTAATCTATATGACTGGAAAAACGGAATCATGGTATTTCTAGTAATATTATCCCAAATGTTGTAATACCTTGTTTGAACACTTGGTATTTTTTTATCCATCAGACTATCATCCAGTCTATTCTGATCAGTGGCCGTTTGGGCCCAAATGTGCAAAACCCAGGATGCTTTGGGCTGAGGCTCAAACACCTCAAATCTGAGGAGCTCCACTGGCTTCATCCAGACCTGACTGTAGGAGAGGTTGAGCAACACTATGAGAGCCTTCACGCTGAGGCAGAGTGGAGGTGAGGGAGTGAGAGAGGGAGTATATATCACCAATATACTGGCCATTATTTGAATTTTTCATATACGTGTGTGTGTGTTTTATTTCAGATATGATCTTAGGATTCGCTACATTCCTGCTGCTTTCATGAAAAGGTTAAAAGAGGACAGGACGTTCCTTTTGTATTTCTATCAACAGGTCAGCAAACATCTCCAGATTTGCTTCTTGACTGTGGTTGTACGTAGTCACATTTTGTTGGTCAGTTCATGTAAATACTGTTCCTCTTCTGGCAGGTGCGCTGTGACTACATGCAGCATCATGCTAGCAAAGTTAGCGACGGCATGGCTCTTCAGCTGGGCTGTTTGGAGATCAGGTAACAAACGGCATAGTCTGTTTGCTTTTATTGATATTGTCTGATTATCCAGTGTAACTGCAGGACTTCATGACCAGCAACTGAGTATATATTTCCAGTGCTATAAATAAACAGAGTTATCCCAGAACTAAAATGAGCACTGTTCAATGATTCATTAATTCAATTTACATTACTCTAGGTAACAAATATTATTGAACTGTGAGGTAATTTCAGAGCATTGCATCGCATATGTGGTTTGTTCTGTCTTTCAGGAGGTTTTATAAAGACATGAATGCCAAAGGTCTAGAGAAAAAGTCAAATTTTGACTTGCTAGAGTAAGTTAATGTTTTTCATTTGTACAAAAGTCTTTTTTAAAAGGTGATTTTTCTTTTTTGCTAATATTGTGGCTTTTTAAATTTAGAAAAGATGTTGGTCTGGACCTGTTCTTTCCTAAGGGCCTTATTGACAGTATGAAGGTTAGATTTGTTTTTCACTTATCTGCGGTGCCAATATCTTATTGAAATTTTATTGATTTCCAGAGTTAAAGTTGAACTTAAGCTGTTTGTGTTTGATGATACTGAGTCACCTCTCCTTAACCAATAATAATACCAATTGCAAACCTTTTACCAATAAGACATATAGGGCCAAATTTACTAACAGCTTGCACCAGTGCAAACAGTGTTTTGGCGTTAAAATAGTACTGTCAGGATTTACTAAAGACGTGCAATGAAGAATTACCACTGAAAAGGCGTGGACAGTTATTTTTGCGCCTGACCTTATTGAATATGCATTTGTAGGAGTTTTCCTTTCAGACGCAAAGTTTATGGGAGGAGAGTATTAAAATGAAACACACAACACAATGTACTATCATTTGCACTCGTCAAATTACTGGTATTTGCGCCATTATTTAATGCTCCAAAAAATGTCTTAAAGCAGACGCTAATTTTGCGCTGCTCTTGGTAGATTGTGTTGGACATTATGGAAATGATCTGGCTGCGTCTGTGTTCTTTAATTTGCGCATTGTCAGTAAATCACCTTCAGAAATTTCCACTCCCATTAGCGCTTTTTTGCGCTCTCACGCTAATTTGCCCTGTTTAGTAAATCTGGCCCTTAAATTAAGCATAAATTCAGATTTGTTCATATGCATTTTTAAATGAATGTAGAAAATGTAGAGAAGTTAGGGATAATATGCAGCTAGCCAGTCGCCACCACAAAATAACCCCCCCTGGGTGATCAGGACCATGACAAAATCAAATGAAAAAATAAAGAAGTGGCAGTTTATGAGAGCTTAGCACACAAATTCTACATCTAAACTGTAAAATGTTGGTTTTAACAGCCTAAGCAACTCAGGAAGCTCATCCAGCAGACGTTTCAGCAGTATGCATTACTAAAGGAGGACGAGTGTATGATCAAGTTCTTTGAGACCTATGGAGAATTCTCCAACTTTGATGAGGAAATATTCCCTTGTGAGCTAGTGGTAAGTTCCTCAGATTAGGTGTTAAAAAATGTTGGGGTTTATTCAAAGTGGAAGATTTAATGTACTTAACTTAATTTACTAAAGTGCTACTTAATCTACACAGCAAGGTTGGAGTTTAGCAGTGGATTTAGTCATTGGTCCCAAAGGCATTCGGCAACGTACCAAAGCAGACTCCACCGTGAGCAACTTCATACTTTATTTCCAATCTTGTATTTATTCCTTAATCTCATGCCAGTTGTCAATGTCCAAATGTTGTTTCGAGTTCATTTTCGTTTTCTCTCCCCAGGCTGTCTGCCTTGCTGAATTTAGACAGATCCAAAGTATCAAGTACAACACACAACGTGATGGCAGAACATTGTTACTTATCGAAATTGAGGGTGCCAAACAGGTGAGAATGTTCTCACTGCAGTATTAGGTAGTTAAACTTTATTTGCACAATGCCACTCTTGTAGTAAACTAGCAATGAACTTTTCCATTCCTAGCCTTTTTCCATCAGTGTGGCGTCTCTGGCCATTGCGGAGAACATGGCTGATCTGATCGATGGCTACTGTAGGTTGCTTAACCACACAGACTCATCTTTGATAGTTGGTCCAAATAAAAGTAAATCTCCCAAAGGTAAGCTCCAATTAATGTACTGTATGTCTGTGAATGTCAATAGTCTTCTGACAAAGTGTCAATGAAAAGAGTTAAAGCTTGTGCAAACTGCTTCCAGAGGATGGATCATTATTTTTTCTAAATTATTGTCATCTGGAAAAATCTGAGATAAATGAATAGAAGTTTTCTGAAATGCTGAGAGTTTATGGCAGCGCTCTTCTGAATGTTGTGCGTTTTGAATTTATCTTCGCTGTCTTAGGTGTGCAGTTGCGCAACTCTCTTCCTGAAATTCCCTCCGGGTGAGTTTTCTTCTCCTCAGGACTACAACACAGAATGAATAGCAATTGCTATAATTCTAAAGTGATCTCTTATGGAATAATTTACAAAGTGAAATGGAGCTGGACGTACATTTTTAGATACTTTATTTCACTGTCCTTAACGCTATTCACTCTTTCCTGCTGTTAGGAAGACAGAAAGCTTCAGATACAGCAGTGAGTATCAGACCCTCCTTTAGATACAATCCCATTCAGACACACGACTTGATATTTACTGAATTATGATAACAAGTTCACGACAATGTGATAACATCAAATCTATCTTTCAGACTCTGATATATACTGTGAAATCCCAGATGAAAAGCCGCCACCATCTGGTATGTATGGGAATTATTTTTTTTTTTATGTGTTCAGGGTCAGTATCACTGTAAAATCATGCACTTACTCATTATTGTTTGTACTGATGTGCTTTCATAGTTTTTCATGTGTTTCGCAATAGCAAAGGTTGGACTGTCCAGGAAAGACATTATCCTGAAACGTATGCTGGGTGAAGGCTTCTTTGGGGAGGTTCATGAAGGAGTTTACCAGAAAAAGGCAAGCAGTACTAGACACTTTAGACATGTGATGATGCAATGACAACTAAAATGTTTTTGTAGGTCAAATCTGGGTTTTTCCTTTTATCAATATTTTTTAATTGTATTGGTTAGAATGGGGAGAAGGTCAGTGTTGCGGTGAAGACCTGTAAGGAATGTGCACCTGATGTCAGAGAGAAGTTTGTGGGTGAAGCAGGTACGTGAATGAAAACTCTAGTTAATTATTATAGTCATTGACATAGACAGGTGTTTCTTCAACTATTGGAACTGTAGACAGTACATTCTCACAACATATTTAATTTGTGTATATACAACGAGTGTGTATACTCATCTATCACCAGAGAATTCTGTCACTGTTTTCTGAAATGTAATTTTTTCTAGCATATCTCAAATGATGTATTGTGTTTAATAACATTCTGTGGTAGAAATAACATTTTAAATATTTTGGAATAAAATATCAGACTCCTTTGTCTTGCTGAGGCTAACATTATAGTTATAATTTTATGTATTTTACATACACACATTTAATAAATATGTTTGCTTAATTTGACAAAACTACAGCTTGATTAGAAATTATGCACAAAAAATATTTTTTCCTGCATTTTTCTGCTACAGCAGTGGTTCTTTCTAGATATGCCAAGCTCAGCTAAAATATTTTATTGTGCAGAAATTGTGAATAAAAATTTTTTTTTTTTCATCCTTATCAAATAAAGCATGAAAACTAGAAAAGTCAAGGGGTCATTGAATATTATTGGGCGCCTTGGAGTCAAAAAGGTTGAGAACCACTGCTGTAGTCTCTGTGGTAAAGAATTAACTTTTAAGCTGGAAGTCATAAAAAATGATGCGATAATAATAAATAGTTTTCACTTGATAAATTTTGATGTTTTGTATAATACAGTAGTTAATTTTTTATAATGGGTTTTTATATTTTAAGAAAATCTGGGGCCCAGATGTTGAAACAATCTATATGGCAGACATTTGAAATATAGCAAAAATATACAATATAGGAAAAATATACAATAAAATATATAATATCAAGTAACTGTATTCTTTTTGGATTATAATGTCCCACCTGTCTAGTTATCATGAAGAACCTGAACCATCCACACATAGTGCGACTGATAGGAGTGATTGAGGAAGAGCCGGTATGGATCGTCATGGAGCTGTGTCAGCACGGGGAGGTAAACAACAGCCCAGATGCTGGATGTTATCACTCTTATTTGTATTATATCTCAAAACACGTCTTTTGGAAAATTGCAGTACCAATAATGTTGTCACTATGAGTGATTATTTTGGGGAGGGTGGTAATATATCTAATGAGATAGAGGGGTTTATGTAACTTTTAAATTAAATCAATAAAATTCCCTTTCAATCCATAGTGTAATTCCATTTGCCATGACCGCTGTGATTGATCTAGCAAGCTCAATTAAGTGAATGCCATAGATATGGCTCTATTAACATTTACAGGCTCTGTAAAACCATCATAAACTGTTTACAAACTCACAGGAAGTTCAGTATTGGATAAATCAACACCACTGAGTCTTGTTAAGTACAGAATGACTGGCATGAACAGTCAACTAGTGGTGAACTCAAACATGTGCATGATTTAATAAACCAACTGAGTGCTTAGGAAACCACCACAGGGTCTGAATAATGCGTCTCAGGGCAGCAGAAAGCCTGTATTTCTATATGATGCGCAGTGCTCCACTTTAATAAAGTGGATTTTTTAAAAATTAATTAATATATTGTTTTGCTACTGTACACTAATCCTTCTCTAAAATGTTTGTTTTGTGTTTACAGCTGGGGAAGTACTTGACAAAAAATCAGCAGAGTTTGACCAATGTAACTCTGGTTCTCTTCAGCCTACAGATCTGCAAAGCGCTTGTTTACCTACAGGGAATGAACATGGTCCACCGGTATGACATGCAATTCAATATTTTTCATTCTCTATGATCTATCTGGTATAAACTAAAATGTAAAAGTTTGGGGTTGGTACAATTTTTTTAATGTTTTTGAAAAGTTTTTTTTAATGTTCACCAAGGCTGCATTTATTTGATTTTGAAATATTATTACACTTGAATATAACTGTTTTCTATTGTAATATATTTTAAAATGTAATTATGGCAAAGCTGAATTATCAGCATCATTACTCCAGTCTTCGGTGTCACATGATCCTTCAGAAATCATTCTAATATGCTGATTTGCTGTTCATGAAACATTTCTTATTATTATCAATGTTGAAAGCAGTTGTGCTGCGTAATATTTTTGTGCAAATATTGATAGATTTTTGTCAGCATCATTACTCCAGTCTTCAGTGTCACATGATCCTTCAGAAATCATTCTAATATGCTGATTTGCTGTTCATGAAACATTTCTTATTATTATCAATGTTGAAAGCAGTTGTGCTGCGTAATATTTTTGTGCAAATATTGATAGATTTTTGCAGGATTCTTTAAATAGAAAGTTCAAAAGAATAGCATTCATTTGAAATTTTGTAATATTAAAACTTTATTTACTGTCACTTTTGACCAATTTAATGTATATTTGCTGAATAAAAGTATTAATTTAAAAAGTAGTAAGTATTAATCTTACTGACCCCTCTTACTGATGCCTGGAAATAAACAGAAATTTTTTCAATCAAATTGTTATGCTGATAATATAATTTAATATGGACAAAGCTCAACTACAAAACAGAATCTTTTTCCCTTGTGGTCTCACACTCCACTGTATTTACATTGATAATGAATTGAAATTTTCATTGTTGTCATATGTTGTCTGTGTTGGTGTGATCTGCTTGACAGAGATATAGCTGTACGAAATGTGCTTGTTGCCACACCTGAGTCAGTGAAGCTGGGTGACTTTGGCCTTTCCAGATACATAGAGGATGAAGAATATTACAAAGGTTACCTCAGCTGTTTTACACATTCATAAAAGTTATGATTTGTTTAATCATTTTATGATAAATTGTTTCATTCTCTGGTGCAGCTATAATAATCTAAACTCCTCCGTCACGTTATAAAATCTTCTAAAATATTCTTTGTTGTGTTGTTTATATTCTGTTTAACAAGCATAGCAATTTCTCATTACCTTGCATTATGTCTGCAGCATCTGTTACTCGTTTACCAATCAAATGGATGGCTCCTGAATCTATTAACTTCAGACGCTTCACCGTGACCAGTGATGTGTGGATGTTTGGTGAGTGAATAGAAGAAAATCATTAGATTTCAACATGTCCATTGTACCAAACAATGACACTGTTACGTAATTTAGACAGACACTCGCTTGTTTGACTAATTAATATTGCTAAAATTGAGTATATAATTTTATACTTTAAATATATTAAGTCTAAAAAGGTGTTTAGAAACCAGTATTTCTAAAATTGCCTTCATGGCTCTTTATTAGTCATTGTAAAATTCTCAGAGGGTACATAATTCATTTTTATGAATCCATTTTACAGTTTTGGCATGCTTAACCATCCTGTGCTTACAAACATTATTCAGCGCTCCAGGGCCACTATTAAATTTAATTTATACAAATTGTCATACAATAACTGACTTTCATTTCTGACCTTAACTTTTTACAATTTGCCAATTCATTTTAAACTAATTTCTTGGTGCAAGAATCATGTCATATTGATATAAAACAACTATAAAAGTTTCTATATTGAATTTTATAGTTGTTTTCAATTAACTCATATTATTCTTAATACTGAGCTTGAGACATGAACAAATTTTATATCTGTAGCCCCTCAACGAAACACTGGGTAAACAACACATGACTAGACAGACAGAGACCCCTCAGTTTCTGGAGCTCAGCTGCCATGTTCTGTGAATCTTGAGCTTTCACTCAGTTTCTCTGATTGATGGCTTCACATATGAGTGCTTCCCCTCCAGATGCACCATCATCAGTACTGAAGCAAGGAGAAAGTCATGGGCAGATGATCCCAACACAGTTATTTAAGCTTTAGCCTTTTATCAGAAAAGAGCTACTGAACTTTTATTCACCCTCATGTTGTTCCGAATCTGTATGACTTACTTTCTTCTGTGGAAAGGTATTTCGAAGAATGTTGGACATCAAACACTTTAGACCAGGGGTGCCCAACCCTGTTCCTGGAGATCTACCTTCCTGCATAGTTCAGTTCCAACCCTGATCAAATACACCTGTCTGTAATTATCAAGTGCTCCTTCAGATCCTAATTAGTTGGTTCAGTTGTGTTTGATCAGGGTTGGAGCTGAACTCTGCAGGAAGGTAGATCTCCAGGAACAGGGTTGGGCACCCCTGCTTTAGACAAAAAATAAAATGGAAGTCAGTGGAAAATGAAACTGTTTGATCACCATCATTCTTCACACCATGCTGCTTTTGTGTTCTGCAGAAGAAAGAAAAGCAAACAGGTTTGAAATGACCTGAGGGTGAATAAATGACTATTTTCATTTTTGGGTGAACTATCCTTTTAACATTTCTCTTGATAGGATCATATGATATTCCTAAACACCAGAAGCGTAAAATGCACAAAAGTCTGTCAATCCTCCCATGTGATTTCCCCCCCACTTCCATTTTTTCCTCTCGTGTTGCTCCCGTCCAGCTGTGTGCATGTGGGAGATTATGAGTCGAGGTAAACAGCCGTTCCACTGGCTGGACAACCGTGATGTGATTAATTAGGCCTATTACCACATTTTCTGCTTTCACTATTTTATTCTTTTTTTTTGTATGAGTTTTCATTATTTAATATTTTTATTATTTATTATTTTATTTTATTTTAAAATTATATAATTGGCTTTCACAGGAGTTTTTATTATTATTTTAATAATAATTAATATTTAATTAGAAGCTTTGTAGAACCTCAGAAGGTTTGTGTGTGTGTTTATGGGGTAGGAGGGTGAGTTCAGCTTCGGGCCAACAAGTAAGGAAGATGCTCAGCGGCTGTGGCAGGTAGAGAAGGAGCGCATGCAGGATACTTTGAAGATGCAGAAAGAGCAGATGGAGGAGGACACAAAATGGTTAAAGAAGGAGGAGAAGCTTCTGGTAAGGAGGAAAGCCTATTTACCAATCTCTTATGTATGATAATATAGGTTGCCTTTAATATTAGTTATCATGCACATTGCATTGCTTGCTGTTCTTTCTCAGGACCCAATGGTTCATCAAGACTCAAAGGTGTGTGTTTTTATTACATACATTTCATCAATAACATTTTCATTCCATTTCATATGTCTGATGTATTTTTCTTTTCTTTTTTTTAAAGTATAAAATGTAATGGTCAGATGCAATCCCAATAATGATTTTTTTATTTTTTTTATTTTTTTTATTATCAGACACCTGAACTGCCACTTAGTTATGGTAAGTCCTCTGCATTTTACAGGTGATAATGTTAACAAATTTTAACGAATGAACATATCAGTATTTGCTGAGAAAATTAATCAAATTCTTGTGCCATATTAACATGTTTCCTCCTATACTGACTGTATCCTGTATCCACTTAAAGCTGAACTCCGTCAGCCTCCTTCAAAACCACCCAGAATTGCAGTGCAGGTAAGGACTCATTTTACACGTTTGTACAGTATGCAGGTTGTACATGTTAAATATTTGACTCTACTTTCCCAGTACAATGATAGGAAGCATAATTCAGTTTCATGTGTCCTCAGCCTACACCTACAGCTGAGCTGGACCGCTCAGAGGATAGTGTGTACCAGTGTGTCATGGACGTGGTGAAGGTGGTGGTGCAGTTAAAAAACGACATCAACACACTGCTGTCTACTGATTACATCTCTCCTGTCAAGGTGACAAAAACCTTCATTTAAATCTGATGCCGTTTTTGGTTAATATTTCCATTAACAGTTTCACATACTGTTATTTTAACATTTTTGTCTGCAGACTGTCGGACTCTCATTAAGAAATCTGATCAACAGTGTGGATGATATACTACCAACTCTGCATGTTTCCTGTAGAACAGAGGTAGTATTTGCCCTGTATCAAAGTGTTTCTGCAACCTGATTTTTTTTAAAAAACTTGACATACTTGGTACAAATCAATGCAGTTTCTAAGTAAAATGTCCACTAAGTGGCGCTAAAAGTGAGTTTAATCTTTTCCATTACAGCTGAGATTTTAATAAGAGTACAAATGTTTCCCTCAGATTGAAGGCACTCAGAAGTTGTTGAATAAGGACTTGGCTGAGCTCATCAATAAGATGCGGCTGGCCCAACAGAATGCCATCACCTCTCTAAAGGAAGAGTGCAAGAAACAGATGCTGGCAGCAGCCCACAATTTGGCCATGGATGCCAAGAACCTATTAGATGCTGTAGACCAGGCCCGAGTGCGCTCAAACTTGGCCAAACCCAAACCTGAGGACGTAGACTCACTGACAGACTAGAAGAGCTGCTTGGGACATGCTGACTTGAGTATACACAACTGTCCTATACACAGCTTGAGTATAGGACAGACTGATTTATCTGTATAATATTGTAATGCAGTAACGGGGCAAAACCAACACCAGTATGGGACATGAAACCAATAGAAATTCAGGCAACTGTTGGACTGCTGTCATATCATGTTAAGTGATTTGTGTAAACATTTATGATTTAGAAAACCAAGCAGGCCAGAGGGGTATTCCAGTAAGCAGGGTTAACTTACAGTCACATATACCCAGAACTTTTGGTTGATTAACCCAAAGCTTTCTTACTCACAGTAAGAAAAATTTTCCAAAAATGCATTGCTATCTTTTAATATTCAAGCAGTTTTTGTTTATTACTGTGAAAAACAATTATATTGTTTGTTTGATGCTAAATATAAAAATTTGTAAATGCAAGATTGACTGTGTAAGACTGATTGAACAAAAAATTGTGCTTGCCGTTTTCTTTTAGCAGTTTTCCTTCCATATTTGGTGTAAAAAAAAAAAAAAAAGACATTTTGAATGCATATTCACAAAGTGTGAAATGAGGATAAAATAAATGTCGCTTTATGTTGTAATAGTGCTTTATAATAAAACATTTGTCACTGGAGCCTCATCAATAGTGAATGCATGTGCTCAATACCTCTGAAATAATAAACTTACCTATATAATAAGCTCCAGAGCAGGTTATGTTCAGAGAATAAGTTGTTATAGCTTCTTAAATAACCTGAAAGTTACCTAATTTTTGGAACTGAAAGTTGAGGTTATCCATGTACTTATGCATGAACTTAGCAGCTATGACACATAACCTACTTTTTGGAATACCCCCCAAGAATTTTTGTTTACTTTGATTCTAGATCTTATTTTGAGAAAAAATCTTGTATAAATGTTAATGACAACTAGCTTGCAGAATCCTCTATATGACCCAACATTCCTCTGGACATCTCGTCTTATTAAATATATGTGTTTATATCGTAGACTAGAGGTGGAAAGTAACTAATTACAAATACTTTCGTTACAGTACTTGAGTAAATTTTTTTTTTTAAATCTACTTTCTTGAGTATAATTAAATTGCGGTACTTTTACTTTTACTTGAGTAGAATAAAACTAAAGTATTCAACTTCGCTACATTTATTTTTCACCAAAAGTACAAAGTACAAAAAAAAATGGACAAAGGAGATCAAAGAAGGCGCCGATGGAGAAACAGAGCGAGCCGGCGTCTGACGGGCACTTTTCAAACTCCTGGGGCGGGGCGTTCAAACCGCGCTATGCTTTGACTGTCAATCACCTGCGTTGTCGTTTTGAATCAGCACCATTGGCGTTTCAGTATTTTATTGAATGTGTCCTCTGATTTTAAATCGTAATTTTGTCAGCTCCTCAAATGGGTCATACCGTCGATATTACACAGCAGTGCAAGTAAATAGAAACTCGGTTGACAGAAGGACGCATTGCATGGATGGAGCAAGAACAATGTAAGTGTCTAAAATACATGCACATAGTTCAGTTGAATGGTAAAAATCGCCCTCTTTAACAGTGCAGTTAAACTAAATGTACGAAGCTAAAATAACCTCAACATTAACAACAA